TACCAAATGACAAATAAAAGTAAATCGGACTCGCTTTCAGGCTCTGCCTTTTTTCATATTATTATATCAGATATCAGCGTTACTTTGACTGAGTATTTGCGTATATAATTTCATTTATAGCAAAATAGAGGGAAACTGAGATTTGGACACTCAAATGTCATGTTGCAATATCATTACCCGTGTTGCATATGTATGTACTTAAAAGAATAGGAACGGATAAATTGTATATCAATATTTATCATCTAAAAAGAGGTAGCATGACAGTTTTTCTTCATGTTTATTATTGGAGAAACCAGTTCATGGGCGTCGCTATTTTGACAATCATTTGTTCTCGCGAGACAGACGAGACCGAGATTATGACTTATACTCCAACTAATAGAATAGAAGCGTACGCTGGTACAAAATAAATATATCTTGATGTATAACTTAAAATTCTTAAAACGTATATTATATTCACATACACGCATGTATTAAAATGATTTTACAAAAAAATGCACTGATAATTTTTTTCTCCAAAAGTATAACGAAACTACCAATAAATTTTGGACATAATGCTTTGTCGCTTGAAATTTTCCTCCGAAAATGGAAGGTTGTTTCGTTACTTTATAATTACCAATATCTTCAATTTAAGTTTTTCTTTATATATTATAATGAATAAAGTGTATTAAAATAGTGTATTGAACTATGATAACAAAATTGTCAATAATTTTAATAGCTTAACAAGCTGTTTAAAATGACTTTAAACTTACTTTTTAAGAAAAACATCAAATATAAAATAGATAACATTGAAGTTGTGTTACATTAGAATTTTCGACTGATAGCGATTGAGTACGTTCTTACATATTTTTTAATAAACAATTAATATGTACCCTGATATGCGTTCCGGATAATGGGTCTAACATTTAACAGCAGTGAGTTGGAAAAGTACATATGCGACCAGGCAGTACGCGCCGTGATTAAATACCTCAGTCGATTAATTGCACCACGACAGCGTGTATGTGCTGAATGGCATTATAATACAACAATATTAACCGATTAAATAAAGTGATGCTTAAGAAAAAGAAAACAAATGACGACTACGTAGTCACTCAAGGTTTTAAACATAACAGCAAATGTTATTGAAAGTTTCAGATACAATAATTTCATATTTATATAAATTAAATTTAACCTTATGTTGTGAACATTTACTGATTTAATGTCTTAATTAACTAATGTATTGAGTGTTTTATTCTATTTAATGCCAGCCCGGTTACAATATCATGTACATCGAAAACAGATGAGTAAAATATTTTTTTATCGTAAGCCATCCTTTAATCAAAATAATTCAATAAAATCAAAGTCAATAACTCGTCACGCGCGGTTACACTCAGCTTGGTATTTTCTTGAATAGTAAGCTTTATGTAGGATTTTGCATAAATGATAACACTAAGATGCATTGACAATTTGACAGATCTCATCACTTAAAACAGTTTTTAATCAAAACTCCCTTTTCCTGCATACCCAATTGAATTTTCAGTTGTTTTTTGTCTGTATCTGGTGCAAACACCAACGAAGAATATCTTTTAACACATATCTGTTTTTCTCAAGCATCTAAACAACTGATAACTAGGCATCGCACTACATTAAATTTGTTATTCATATAATAGTTTACAAAAAAGATATTTAAGCCACTATACAGATAATATGTAAGCACAAGATTGGAAGTTAATGAACGACATACAAACGATTCTGGAAAGCTATATTGAGGAGCAAGAAAGGGGCTGTTAACTTCATTCCCTGAACGAAATTTCCAAAATATAATGCCTTCATTACATTTATTGCTGCAACAAGGTTTGCAGCATATACAACACATTCTTTGAAACACAATTTTAATTGCGATTGCTCTAAAGATTTCATATATAGAAACATATGAAATTTGAGTTGATATCGACTTTAATCATAGGCACATTTTGTAATATTTTTGACATATTCAAGTATGAATAAGCATCAATTGTTTTTTTATAAAACTTGATGGATTGAGTAAAATATATCATATAATGAATTAATCATAAATGAAGTTAAAGGAAAATACTGACTTTACTGCACTACATTTATACAACTTTATACATTAATTAGAAATCGTCTTGAAAGTCAAACGAAACATATATCGATGTATTAATTGTTTGTGTGTGTATAAGAAAATGATACGGAAACAGTTTCCTTTGCTTTCATATAGGTAATAAAATTGCTTTCACGTCATGAATTGTAAATATTTTGGTTGAACGTATATTTCATAAGGAATACAAAACACCATCAAAATAAAAATTATTGCTACTTGAACTTCTAAGTGCATGTATTTGCTTGTCTTTTATGTTATGACCTAATCATTTGTTTTAAGTCGATTTTTTTAAGATAGTCTAATTATTTTTGTCATTTGCTTCAGTTGCTGTTTAATACATTATACAGTCTTAGAAATAACTAATACAGTGTAACTTCCGAATTCCGGAACTTCTGAAATCCGGAAACTTCTAAAAACCGAACAATTTTTTCGGTCCCGATTTTTTCCCTTCTATTTTCTATTAATATAATACTTCTGAATTCCGGAACTTCTAAATTCTGAATTCCGGACGATATTTTCGTAAAATTAGAGTCAAATCAATGCAATTTTACCTCCAAAAACCGGAAATATCCAAAGGTGTGAAATACATTGTAAATCGAGAATGTTTACCCTGCAGGAAGATTTAATCTCCCTATCGATTGTTTACTAATTAGCGGTGATCGTGTAATTTGACACGCGTTAAAATCACAAACTGTGAAATGGTATGTTTGAAGTGATGGGGTTAATCAAAGTAATTTACGGCGGTCAGTTAATTTGAAGTGTTAATTAGCGGATTAAATGACAATAAATTGGGACAATGTATGCATCAAACGTCTTTAGAGATTTTATTGCATTTGATGTACTAATTAATTAACTAGCATCGGACGATATGTAAGTTTATGCACTTAACAGTAATTCTACAAACTGATAAAAATTCAAAAGCATTTGCAGGTAAGATAAAAAATGCATTCTTTCCATTCACATCTTTATCTTGATTAAAAGACTATTATATATGATATTACAGTAATGGCCACATCTTCCTTGACATTTAGTGATATTAAGTGGCTTACTCTTGTTCACATTATCATAAACCTCTGAATTCCGGAAACCTCTGAAATCCGAACTTTTTGACAAGTCCCATGGGTGTTCGGTTTTCGGAAGTTACACTGTATATAGAAATATATAACACGGAACTAATATTCAGTATGCTAAAATCATAGTTGCATGGACGCATAAGAAAACTGCATAACACATTTTTTATCAGCCAATTCATATACGGGAAATACTGATATCTTCTTGAATGTTATTGTGCCTTTTTGTGGTTGATTTGTAAAGTATTTCTGAACTCTTTATACGTGTATTTGCTGTTTTTGTTGTTTTAACACTGAATAAAATTACACATTCTATGTCGACAAAGTAAGTTCTAATAACAAAAACACGTATTATTTTAAACAAATGATATTGATGGAGTTCAAGCTAAGTACACTAAAATAAAAAACAACTCCAAAACGCGACTTAATAGAGTTAAATAGGGAAAACAGAATCCCTAAATAAAGTCCAAAACAGCAAATCTGAAAATGCTGCAGACTCGGATTGAGTGAGCCTGTTCATGGACGGTACTGGTAAGTGCAAGTTACCGTCCACGCCCCCTTAGCACCGGCTTATTAATTAGTAGAATATAGCATTTCAATATGAAAAAGGTGAAATTTTGAATATAAAAACATCCACAGATGTGTTCTTATGGCAAATATCGTGGAACATTTAATGTGACACTTCCCTACCATTCCATAAAAAGCTGCGTATTGTCCCTAAGTAAATGAAAGCTTTGTCCTAAACGAGCAAGGAGCAAACAAAGGACGGAACTAAATAAAATAGAATTTTGAAAGGGGATCAGAAGTTATGAAGCCTGCATATCACAGATAAGACATCAAAAGACAAATTTAAATAGCAGGCAACATATCACAAGGGTGATTATACAGTATAAAAGTTGGAATACTTGAACAACCCGAGTTGAAAAAGTCAAAAAAAAAGAAATCAAAAACTCCAAAAAAACAATAATGTTGTGCTAAACAATCTTCGAGGATAGAAAAAATAACATGTTTGATTATATTTACGGGGCGACCTTTTACGGCCTACAAACGACACAAATCGCTGATATGGCAATTCAATAGGGAAAAACATATTTCCTAAAGAATGTCCATAACAACACAATTATGCGTTCTCTTTACTTAAAAATCCCTGAAATTTAAATGTATTTGAATATTTCTAAACCAGTAAAAGTATTTATTCGGACCTCATAATATTAACAATTTATAATCAGGATTACAACAAGTAAGCTAAGTGGAAGACCAAATTTTGAAACATCAAGAAAATGTCATTTAAAAATTAACGATATATGGCAAAAAACAATTTATGAAAAATATCTCATATATTTATGATGGGATATAACCATTGGTCAACATAAAGAACAGATTGCAGAGCACATGATCTCAAAAGCCACGGTCAAGTTCTATGTTAAGGGTAATTAAAGTTATTTACGCACGCATTTTTTTACTTGCGGCTGTTACTAAATTCAAAATATCTTTATTTTCATATTAAATATTGAATTTTCTCTCATTTTTTATGTGTTTTTTCATATATAAATTACAATAAGTCAAGTTAACATACTGTTGTGACATGTATTCAACATATTTCATTTCATCTTTTCAATTCTTCACACGCGCACACAAACGCACACGCACACGCACACACGCTTACACACACACACACACACACACACACACACACACACACACACACACACACACACACACACACACACACACACACACACACACACACACACACACACACACACACACACAGGTCAACCTCTATCTACAACCGCATCGCAGATGCTGCAGTGGAACAAACATATACTTACAAATGATGCAATACAGTTGGCATAAACCTTCGACTTGAATCAATCAGTTTACCGCTCAGAGAAGACATGGCGCCTGAAAAGAACCAACATGCCAATTCATTGCACGGTAAAGGTTTATTACTAGTAAAAAGTAATAGTTTTAAACGGTCAGCACAAATTGTTACGGTCAGAATTATTTTCTTCAGAAACGCTTGAACAGAACCACGACAAGGCAAGCAAAGGTTAAGTACTGTTAAACAAACAGAAACAAACAAACCCACAGGCCACAACCAGATTTATATCATCTTAGTTTAAGTGCCACCCCTGTCCACTCATCGCTCGGTGAAAATTTATTGCCCATTCATCCTAAAATTCCCATCAATTAAGATTGTTATCGAAGGCATCTTTGACAGAATCATTTAAAGCTCAAAGCAACATCGATCATATGCACTCCATCAGGGCGGTAAAATGTATATTGGCATTAATATCGGGGTTAATGATGTCGCTTTAACCGAAAGAATAAATAATGTAATGATTAATACCATTCATTTCTCTTTTGTTCACTCCATACCAATCGCCATTAGCCTTAGCCCTTTTTGTCAGAACCAAACGATAGTTACTTGGTGATATGCCTCACGAAAATAATATACTTTATACTTTATAATGTTTGTTTCTGATAAAGTCGGTGTTATAGAGCTTGAACGGCAACAGGCACCCTTCACTCCGTCTATGAATAGGCTAAATCAAACCCAGCCTGCAACATTGTCAACATTTTGTTGTCGGTAAGTTTAAGACTGAATCTTATCTTATGCATAAATGTTTAACTGGAAACAGGAGCCCACTCATATAGTCTTCCGACTAATAACACGAACATTGTGCAATTCATCGCCATTTATGCAAATACTTCTGTAAAGTTTGACAAGGGGACGCCACTTGGTTAAAACACGTCCAAGAAGTGCAAAACGACCCACAAATACATCGGCATCTTATCGTTTGTATCATACTCTAAAATAAGCCTACTATTTGAAATTTTGGAATTTGACATGACCTGTTTATAGAAGTGACAAAATTGATTACATCGCAAACTGCAGTTGATTCGATTGCAACGGAGTGCAGAGGGTCCTGAAGCAATAATGCCAATTTTGTGGGTTTAACTTGACATAACGAACCTTTGTATTGCCTTTGTCTTACCGGTACTTTGACTTCAGAGAAACGTGTTTATTTGGTGTTTAAAACAACATAATAATATATACAAATAGATTTCCGAGTTCCGCTTTAGTTACCTTCTATTGAAAATTCCCTTGGCCCGGAATAAAATAGAACAGTCCACGTTCATTAAAGAATTTCATTTTTTTTCATAAAGTACGTGTATTTTGTATATGAACATATATCGATTTCAAGATGCGCCACCAAAAAGATCTTTACCAATACGCAAGTCATTCAGCAAATATGATGAATCAATATTGTTACCAGACAAAATGACAAGGAACAAATAATATAGAAACCTAATAAAGAAAATAAAAATCTTTATCTTATCAACTCACAAAATTCATATTTGTATCTGAGAAAGTGCACATGTAAAAACATTTCTGGTTGCTATTTCTCAGGAAATGCAATCTAAAAAAAAGTCACTGCTTGTACAAAATTTATGATTTCCTTGAGGTCAGCTATGAAATTCAATGGAAAGCTAATGTTTGCTATGGAAGTCACGGGTGATTATGGAAAATTTCAGCTTGCTCTGGAAAGTCAATGGCTGCTATGAAGTCACTGGTTGCTATTGAGGTCCATGGTTGTTATGGAAAGCATACAGTTGCTAGGACATGGGGAATATCTGGTGCTATGGAATGTCAATTGTTGCAATGGAAAGTCATTGGTTGCTATCGGAGTCACAAGTTGCTATTTGAAGTCAATGTTTGCTGTAGAAAGTCATTGGTTGCTATGAAAGTCTATGGTTTCTAAAGAAAGTCAATGGTTCCTAGGGAAATATACTGGACACTATGGCAAGTCCCTTGATGTTATAGAAAATCACTGGTTGCTTAAGAAGTCTTGGTTGCTACGTAAAGTGACTTGTTGCAATGGAAGACAAATTTTGTTATAGAAAGTCATTGGCTGCCATTGAACACACACTGGTTGCTATGGAAGTATATAGTTGTTATGAAAAGTTAGTTGTAATGGAAGCCTTTACTTGCTATGGAAAGTTACTGGTTGATATTGAAAATTACTAGTTACTTGGGAGTGTATTGTTGCTATAGAAAATCACTGGTTGCTTTGAAAAATCGATGTTTGCTATGGAAAGTCATTAGTTTCTATAATTGATTATTTGGTTGATTGATTTTCTTTACACCTGGCGGTCAAGTATAACCTACGAAAGTGCAAGCACTTATTTCCAATAGGGTTCTTACCTCAACAGACTCTAGGGACAGCTATGAGATACAAGGGAGTCCGGGAACCAGTCCCTAGATCTTATTGAATAGATCCCTTGGTTCTTTTACATGCCCAGTGTAAAACACTGACACATACGAGGATTACCTGGGTTTTTTTACCAGTAAACCTCTAGGTAGGTGAGACACACTGATAGTGTCTCTGAAAAATCCCAAGGGTGTTACACAGGATCGAACCCGGAACGTCAAAAGTGACAGTCAGTGGTCTAACCAACTGAGCTATCGCGCCACCTAACGCTATGGAAAGTCTCTGGTTTCTAAAGAAGTCTGTGGTTGCTATGGATAGTGATTGGTTGCTATAGAATGTCAATGGTTGCTAAAGAAGTATATGGTTGCTATTGAGGTCAATGGCTGATGTGAAATGTCAGTTGTTGCTATGGAAGAAAATGGTTGCTATTGAAAGTCATTGATTGTTATGGAAATGTAAGGTTGCTATGGAAAGTCAGTAGTTACGATCAAATTGGGCGCAGTTCAATTTTGACCCAAGGACTTAAATTTGAACAATTTATGTAGAACCCCACCAGACAATGTTTAACATCATATACTTAAGCTTAACCCTCTATAGTATAATAGAAGACGATTTTTTGTTTTTGTTTTTTGATTATATTGACATTAATAACTGAGGCTCGTCAAGGAGAGTATCAAAATAACCTAAAATTGTCTCCCACAAGTACCATGTGCCCTTTGGGGACAGTTTTTTAAAACTTTGGTGTGTTTTAAATTTCAGTTAAATGTTTGGGGGTTTTAAAATTTTTTAAATTTTTAAAAACAAAAAATACGATTTTCAGCAGCAAATCTAAAATTTTTTGGGAAATTTTCAAATTTTTATCTGCAAATGAATACTGGTATATCAATCAGGTTTTGCATTTTAAAACGCTCAAATTTTTCAATTTTCCAACACCTTGAAAAGACTTTAAAAATTTATTATCGTTGAAAAAAAAAATTTTTAATTATTTTATCGATAGAAAAAACATGCTTTTAAGTTTTTTTAAAAATTTTTGGGGGATTTGATAGATCGACAACCAATGAACACAGAAAAAAAACTTAATGAAGCATTTTCGGGTCCGTCCGGGTTTGGTGGTTATCCGGTTTTGGTGGTCCCCAACCAGTAGGGAATTTATGATTCAAGGGTCGGGGCCAATTTTGAATCAAGGGCTTAAATTTAAACAATTTTTGTAGAAACCAACCACACAAAGTTCCATGCTAAATATTTAAGCTAAAGCCTCTATAGTATAATAGAAGAGGTAATTGTTTTTATATGCATGTAAGGAAAATCAATGACTCACTGCGGCAGTGCCAATTTTGACACAGGGACTATAATTTGAACAAGTTTTGTTGAAGCCCACCAATGTTTCAAAATGTTTAATGCCAAATATCTAAGATAAAACCTCTAAAGTATAAAAGAAGAAGGTAATTATTATTTTTCTTTTTTACTGAAGGCATAATAGGAAAATTAATGACCCCTATGGCGGGAAAATTTGACTATAAATTTATATATTTATAAATAATATCCAGTAAACTGCTGAATAAGCGGGAGTGGCGACATACCAAATATATACCAGCAGTATATTGGACATTATTAGGATGCACAAAATCGCACATACATGACATACGCACTTCATACTTTCACTTTACTTTGAATTTGAAAAAAAAAATCACTTAGTCTATTAAAACTTATTTTTAACAACCTCCCTTCCCTCCACTGCTTACCAAAGATTTCGGAAACAAATTTCCGATATTGAAAGGGTTTAAAAATTTCCTCTACATCAAAATATCTATGGGGGGTTTTTACCGAATATAGGACCTTTCAAAGAAATGTATCAATTAAAGTTTTAAAATTTTAATTTTAAAAAATTACGGTTTTTTATAAAAAAAGAAAAAAGAGTGACATTCCCCCATTTGCCGAAATTTTTTCCAAATGTATTTTTCCCGCCTTCGGTTTTTTTGGGTCAAAATTTGCATTCACATTATAAATTTGTCAATTTAATCATTTATCGCCGGCCCCAAACTTTCGGGGTTTAATTTTTTTCACGCTTTGGGACATGTATAGGGGGGCTTTAAATAATATTTTGTTAAAGGGTTAACAAAAAGGATATGCAAAGTTTTAACATAGATATATATATATATATATATGGCACAAGGGCTACTTATCTGATATTCGTTGCTAGAAAATGCAAACGTTTTACGTGCACTACATCGATGAGTACATGATACCGGCTTAAAATCAATAAGTGAGAATGTACATACCTAAGTTACTTTCCTTCAAATTTTTATCGACAAACACAGCCTTTATTTGACTCTGAAGTGAAAGAAAATCACCAGAAATTAGAGATAGTTTACGTACTTTTGTGAAAAATAATGTATATTTTACATTTTATTAGGTCACAAACATATTTTGTTTATATTAAGTTAAGTGTACCATAAACACAGAAGCACATACTATAACTATAGTATGATTTAAGCAGCAGCAAGATTAATAGGATCTAACTCGTTGCTTTATCAAATTACTTGGAAATACATCGCAACTACATGGCATCAGGGCATAGACGCACCATGATTTACGTCTAAAATTTTATAATTTCTTTTACTTAACTTGAATTAAATGCAAATGATTAAATTCAAACTTTGCAGTGGATTTTTTGCACAAATCAATGAGTATTTTGTATCGTTATAGAGTATAAAATTGTTGTTAATTCAACCTGTCCGGCATTCTTTCCATATTCCTTGATGCATCATCGTATTTTTTATTTTGCACGTTATTTTGAAACTGTTTATGATTGCTTGATTATTCGGGTTTTTGTTTCGTTATTATTCCCAAGCATACTTACATTGTCCGTTTTTTTATCTGCATGTTCATGAATGGTCGTTTCGTCAACTGTATGTTCACTTCTTGTTTTTGATTTATTTGACTCTTTTGATTCGTTACTCTGATTGAAGTTGGTCTGTTCGTTGTCCTTTTCATTGCCTGAAGGTATTTTTGAAACATAAATGATTCTCATGAATCATTCTAAGTGGAAGATCGGATACTAAATTAGAAGTTTAGCGTGCGTAACTATGAATTGCTTGCCTTTTTTAAATTGTAAAGAAATCCGAAATACTTCCTCTCTTAGGTTTCTCTAATTACTAAAATAAAATAGTGTTACCAGTTTAACCCTTCTTATGATAACTCATTGGTCTGACAAGACACGTAAAGAAAATTTTGATTGAAAGAAACGTGATCTGACGTGATCTGACTGCGTGGCACATGTTTATCAATTAATAGATACATTAATTGTTTTACGGAGTCATTTCGGATAGGGGTTTGGCCAGTACCTTATGCTGGGGCAAATATCACTAACAAGAAAACACATGCACTGTTTAAAATTCTTACAATAAGGCAGCAATTCATATTATTCAACATTCATGGCAATGTCATCAGAATAAAGGAATGTACTCTCATCAATTTATGCTTAATTTGGTTAAGGTTATTCAAAAATCACGGTCATACTTGAACTACTCAATGTAACGGTTTGAAAGAATGTGGTCCTAGCCTGCATAGCTCAATCGGTTAGAGCGAGACACTTGTAATTTCGACATTAAGGGTTCGATTCCCTGAGTGCCCAACTACAATTAATCAGATTTTTGGATTACACTTTTAATCAATGTCCGGGGCATCTTTCTGCATCTGTATCTTACAGTATCCTCCAACAATTTAAAATGACTAGTACTCTTCTGCAGAACTCACCCATATGAGCAACCGATGACGAGTATGAACAAATATGAACAAACCTAAATACACACACATAGTGACGGAATGTTTATATTTTCAAGTATAAACAAATTCCTTTCAATTAATAACAAAACTAAAGCAAATCTGATATTTATGGTCAAGGTCAGAAAGTATTCTAACGAGGTTGATAAGCATGTTTTGTCGAAATATCAAAAGAGCTTCCCTGAGGTTTTTAAGCATAAAACCATAAAATTTGATGTATCAAGTGTAGCAATTTAAACGAAAAACTGAGCAAAGGATAATAAAGGAACATACTCAGAATCAAACTGAAATCCTTAGGTTTTCTTAACCGGATTTCATTCCCGCTTTTTATTAATGGGTCATTTTGCATTTTAAAAATAATCATACTGAAAATACGGGGTGAAAGAATGATCTGAAAATTTGCACACAAATTACTGGTTCAAACCTACATCAAGTGGTACACACTCTAGAATATTCACAGTCCCTTTATGTCAAAAACCTGAATGGAGTCCCTTTAATCAAATAAGTGCATTTAAAGGAGATTTTGTAAAATAAAAAATCATAAATGACGTTGACAGTCAAAGTCATTTTGATATAAAGGTCATACTAGAATTATTAAAAGGCCCAATAAGCCTTTAAAATGATATCATTTTCGTGTCAGAATTATTTTTCATATCCTATAACAATGTCAAAAAACTTTTAAGTTCGCTCATTGCATAACTGGCTAAGCCATCTTTTGATTTTCATTTTTTTGGCAATTAATACAGTTAGTGTTTAGTATTGTGTATGAGTGTTTGGAAGGATAAAAAACAACACTTTGTTAATATTCAATTATGTCTGTGAGATATTTTCTAACATTAACATGCTTTAATTCCTTTATCAATAATACCAGAAACATGTTCGCCTCTTAAGAAAGACATTTTTTTTTGAGCTGCATAATATGCTGGCTGTGATATAAGTATTATCTAGTCTATGAATCAGCATATCAGTTTAATGCATTTTCTGCAAAATTCAATAACTAAAATTTGCTTTGTCGTTTTCAGATATAAGACAAATGTCAGAATGCCCCTAACTTCTAACAGCGAATTAGTAACATCTGTGACAGTCTATCATAGACATTATCATGTATTATGTTATGTTATGTTAAAGATATAGAGGATATTGAATTTACTGAATTTATTGCACGAGTTGAACACAATTATATTATGCGAGCTGCTGGCGAGCATAATATTATATTATTCAACGAGTTCAATAAATTCAGCAATGAACTTACGCAAATTTAATATACTATTTATCACATACACAAAATAAAGATCGTTTAAAGTGAAAAAATTTCATTGACGCGCCTATAGTATAACGCTTATATTAAGCGCGTCTTTACACTATGATTGTATAACGCTTATGACGTCACGTCAAAATATATGCACAGCCGTGCAATACGGTTGTGTGATAAATACTATGCTTATCCTTGAGTAAAATATTTTAATTACAGAAATTTATTGAAATCTATGAAGTTCACATTGCATGTGTCTGATTTGAATTAAAATGATTAAATTATGTATATGAAGCTGGGTTTCCTATTATAGGTCAACAAAAGTAGGTCTTTTCTTTAAAAAAAACTGCCAGTTTCTTTACTGAACTATATATTCATCTTATGACCACCTATAGTGAGGAGGATTTTAAACATGATATTTCTATTTTGTGTAAAGTCAAAACATGTTTATTTTATATTTACAGAAAGATTGTTTAGCAATTATCAATATTTTATGATATCAAATTTGAGCTTAGTATATCTTTAAACTTTGTCTAATAATAGACAAACATATTTCAGAAATTAGATGCGTCACATATGCAAATTACAATTTTATAAAATGCGCTTTCGAATAAACTCTTTTAAATTTCGTCTTTATGCAAAAAAATCATTAGATATGAACAATATTTCGCAAAGGTAACATTTGAAACAACATACAATACAATAATAATCTTAATAAAATAAAAAAACACTTGTAGGTAACCCGTAAACAAAGATTACATGTTTTATGCAAGTTATTCGATAGGACAAACTAAACATAGCCTGAAAAGGAAGAATATCGGCAAGAAATGGATACTGGAACGTAAAAATTGTTTGAATTAAATAAAAATATTTGTCTAAAAGGAGAAACAATTCTGAATAGATGATATTCATATGTACTCAATGATAACTAACACCCCAGTTACACCCCAGTTACACAGAGCCATCGGTGATTGATCGGTAGTTTTTTTAGCCAACTTATGGAGTGAACCGATGACAACGTATTTATCACCGATATCACCTATTGGTCACCTGTTTTCCACCTATCAACTGCTATTGGGGAAAGATAAGTTTCATCGGTGAAAAATTACCGATTGGGATTTTTAAACACGTCTAAAATTCTCGATCGGTGAAAATATTTTAAAAATTACCGACGGCAACCTATATCACGAGATGTGCAAGCTCTTAATCACCGATATCGCAGATCGGACAAAGATAACCAAATATGAATCACCGGCCATATCTGACGGAAAGTGTTTAACTACTGATGACTAGCTATCAAACACCGATTAATCAGCGTTACGCCCGATTTAGTACCGATTTACAAACGATAAAAACCAAAAGTATTTCAGCATTTAATCATCGACCTATACCCGTTTGAGTTTGCTTTCTGTCACCGATGGGCCCAGTTACACAGACGGTCGGTCCCCAATCGGTCATTTAATTTTAAATTTACTCGCTATTATGATCGGTTGTCATGCGTGATTTTATTTCTGGTTTTCTGTGTAAACGGCCATCGGTGACAGAAAGCAAACTCAAACTAAAAAAACTACCGATCAATCACCGATGGCTCTGTGTAACTGGGGTGTAATCGGTAGTTTTTTAGCCAAATTATGAAGTGAACCGATGACAACGTATTTAACACCGATATCACTTATTGGTCACCTATCAACTGCTATTGGGGAAAGTTAATTTGCTTCGGTTAAAAATTACCGATTGGGATTTTTAAACATGTTTAAAATTCTCGATCGGTGAATTTTGTTTAAAAATAACCGACGGCAACCTATATCACGAGATATGCAAGCTCTTAATCACCGATATCGCCGATCGGATATGAATCACCGGCCATATCTGACGGAATGTGTTCAATCACTGATGACTAGCTATCAAACACCGATCAATCAGTGTTACGCCCGATTTAGCTCCGATTTACAAACGATAAAAACCAAAAGTATTTCAGCATTTAATCATCGACCCATTCCCGTTTGAGTTTGCTTTCTGTCACCGACGGCCGTTTACACAGAAAACCAGAAATAAAATCACGCATGACAACCGATCATAACAGCGAGTAAATTTAAAATTAAATGACCGATTGGGGACCGACCGTCTGTGTAAATGGGCCCTTATTCTAACATAACTCGCGTTCTTACCTATGGATTATATAAGAACCGAAAGTGTGTGTTATTATGCAATAAAATCACTGTTGACGTATTAAGATATGTGACGTTATCACGGGGGAGGAAGTGTTACACGAGGGATGGAGTTCTTATGATAACTTGTCAAGGAGTTCTTGTGATAACTGTCACGGTGTTCGTCGGAAAATTATAGTATATACTGCAAAAACACTTGTCAAAATGGTAATTTTCATCTTTAAAAAGTGAGTTTTAGGTGCTAAATTAAACTGTTATGATTAAGCTAGCCTTACATATTGTATGATATGTCAAAAACTAATTCATAGTCAAATTTTTATCGCTTTTTAACTCCAAACAAACATCCGAACTCCAAACAATGATGTTATTAAGCTATAAATCACTATTTGGGATTTATTATTTTTAAATTAATTAACATTAGCATTTTACTATTTAAGTTAAAATGTTACTTGTTTAAATCTCCTGAAATTATGATAAAATATCTTCTTTTTTTTGAAAATTACTCTATGCATTCGGTATGTGTCAAACAAGGGAGGTAACTCAAAAAAATTAATCAATACCATCATCAAAGTCAATACCATCATCAAAACAAAATACAGGACAGGGCAAAAGGCAAGTTAATCACATAAATCATACATTAAAAGAAACAATCAGTAACTGACAAATAAATGATTGATTGATAGGCCCATGAAGTCAAAGGGCATCCTAAAAGAATGGGATCCTTCTGGGTTCTATGCCACTGGCTCTTGTTGCTCGATCGTGTGGGGGTTGCGTTCATTGAACGCCGCCTTTCCTTGTTGATCTTGTTTATAATATTTAATGGAAACAACGATATTCTTTCTATAACAAATTACAAAACTTCATGAGAAAAATGTAGAAATACATGTCACTTCACTGCTATATACAATGGGAAAGGAAGCTGACAATTAGTTGAAATCTGTTGAATTTTTACAAAGTAATGCGAAGAAAAATGACATTTTTCTACCAATATTTGATTTTAGTCTAAAGAAAAAGGTCATTCACGAATATTGAAAATTCCATTAGAATGACCAAAAGCCAGGCGAAAAAGCGGAAACTTTCATAAAATCATTATATGATGGACGGCTGATAATTTGTTACTGATGTAAAAAGTGAGGAAATAAGGGATCGTAATTTGGATTTCATATTTAAAAAAAGACAATAGATTGAACAAGACATTACTCTCGAAAAATAGTTAACAATGACAAGAAACAGCAAAGACTTAAAAAAATAAAACATTATCACAGTAAGATGTAGATGTGACAAAGAGGCCAAACGACGCCAAAACAAAGTTTGGAACTGCAACTATACGTTTTTTTGACAGCAAGGTGCGACGAAGAAATTTCCGTGGACGCAATCTAGACAATCGAAGAAAATCAATAAAACTCGATATTCAAATTGAAAGAAATTTCATCACGAGGTCATTGTGCAGAGTTTAAGAAAGTGTGCCGGAAATGGTGATATTGCAATCATTTCGCAGTGTGTTGTAAACTAAAATAAGCATGACCTGCGTGCAGATGATGGCAATCATGTTTAGGAAGTATTGACTCAGTTCAAGATAAACCTTTGACAAAACTTCAGGTGAGAGATTTGTTAGTCTACTTTAGATAAGACACTGGGACTGATTTGACTGATATTTCAGAAAGTCTTTATAATATTTTAGGCAAACAGAAATATAATAAAACTCATAGATCTTTATACGGCCAAGGTAACAAACGATGATAGTTATCGGTTCATTGTCACTAAATGAAAACGTGCAGTCGTATACCTTACCTGTACCAAGGCGTGTATCTATACCTTTGCTACCGAAAGTGAAATCTGAAATTGAAAAAGCAGGTGATATATTCAAGATAGATAAATGCACAGACTGGTGCACAGGAATGGTTTGCAAACCTAAACATGACAATGACATGCACAAATGTGTTTGATATGTGTTGATTTGACACGGTTTTATAAAATCTGCGACGCGAAAATTTTCCTCTGCCAATTATAGAACAAGAAAAGCATTGATGCAAAGCGTCAAAGGGCGTCCAAGCAAGAAATGCAGCAGGTGAAGATGAGCTAGTAGATGTATGATGACAAGATATTCTTATAATATTTTCAATGGATAATTGGTTTTAACCAGAATTGTATATCACTTATGAATGAACGGACGAAAGACATTGTTCATTATGAACTTTGAGATTAGAATATTACTTGTTATTTCTTTATGATCGTGATTAATAATAGCAACGGATATACATGTATACAATCATTTATAATCCATATGTGTAACTTATGATCAACACCACACTTGTGTAATTGTCCTCTATTATGTTATCACTATTAGCGAAGATCCCCTCTTAAGGTATCTGTTCACATTTAGTAAAAATAGGACACTGGTTATATTACCATGTTGATCATGTTGAGCATAATTATTATACAATAATTGTAATATCTATTTTAATAAAAAAAATACTGATTTTATGAATATTGTTTTCTTTTCTTTTTTGTGTTTTATGTTCTATTTTAATACTGAGTTTTTATGTTTACTACTTTTTTTATTAAAATTGTTCAATAAATTATAAGAATTCAATTGTCATATTGACCGACGATTATAAGTCAAAACTTAACTGGAAAAAGTCAGTAAATTATGGTTAATCTTTCAATATATAATATTGTTTATTCTTAAACTATGTACATGTACATTTGTATTTTTCTTTATCATTTTTTAAATTATCAATCAATTGAATAATTCATAAAATCTAATTTGTAACTTTGAATAATTCCTCGGCATCTTTACTAAACACGAATAACAAATTTAATAAAATTTTTCAAAGTTGTCATATTATTACCATAAAAATGTACATTTGTTCTCAATTATTGTACATATTTATTGTTTTTATCTCATGTAGATAAAATGAAACATGCTATCGTTGTTGTTTTTTGTTGTTGTTTTTTTTCGAATTGTATGTTTATGTATAATAATAATCAATAAGTTTGAGAGTTTATCTGTGTTTATTAACTATTGTAACCAAACTAAGTGACAAACATTCATTTTGATAAAAAAATTATTTATCTGTAAAATATTTGTTCTGTTCTGTAACGATATCAAACATCTACTCCAAACCCGGGAGAGACCGGACAATAAACGTGTGATACTATTCGCCGGTCACAAGTAAATCCCGGTCAAAATAGACCGGGAGAGACCGGGAATTATCAATTAGAAGTACATCCCTCTATAAATAGATTTTCAGATTGTTTAGGTCATCAACTCATCATTCTATTTACAGCTTTCGGATACAAGTACAACAATAACATACCATAATAACCCACTGTGTACTACAAAAGGATAAATAAAAAAAACCCGAAGAGCGCTATTTATTGAAGGAAAAGGTTATTTCATATGAAAATATTTGCATTGCGAAATTCTCCAGTTTGCTATTCATTGTACATATCGCGACATTTCATTTTTAATGAATAACCAAGCACCCTCATACCAATCGGAATGATCGGCTTTTATTATGACCAACTAAAAGGCTCGAGAAGTTGCTGTCGCCCTTTCACAAAATCTGATTTCATTCCATCAGAGGCGCCGCGCTTCGGCGCAGACGCCAACAAAGGTCGTTTAACTGGAGAAAATATGTTTCAAAATTTGACTCTGTGTTTCTTCACCTTTGTTTATGATAACTCACTATCTGCTTTTCAGTTTCGTCTACTTAATATTGTAATCGTTTATTCTTGTTTATTAAAAGCTTAAGAGTGCAATACTGGTATTAAATACAACTTGTACTGGTTATTATTACGAGCTGTTTTTTAGGAGACAGTAAAAATATTCACTGAAATAAACAAAATATAGTATCACAGTAGGCGCAATATTTTAATACGGCAGAAAAGATCATAATCATGAAAGAAGGACAATTTTCCAGGTAACTATTCATTATCATAAAAAGCCAAAATTATATGTGCACACACCCTGTGAAAGATATAACAATACTCGAGAAATTCTTAACATTTTCCCCAAATTTACACTGTGACACCATGATTTGCACGCCAATATGTAACTCCCTGCTTATTTTTCATTACTTGTGTTGTCACGATTGAAGGGCATGTACATGAAATAGCAACAAAAATAAAAGAAATAAATATTAAAAGTAATATAGAGAGCGACAAAAAAATAAACAAATACATTTTTATTTCTTTTTCAGTCGATCTTTCTTGTTGAAGCTCCTAAGCTGCGACATAACGAAGTCAAGAAATGACAGAAATCAGCCACTATTATTCAAAACCCATTTTCTTATTTAGTAGTTAAATAAAACACTTCTTCATGATAAAAAATCTAAGAAATCTGCAACACCATCTTCAGCTGAAAAACAGTTTCATTAAAGATCTAGAAGAAATCATCATCAGGTTCAAAAGGTGGCCCATGATTACCATCGTTACTATCAACATACTTTTGCTCATCATTACCATCACAAATATTATCATCATCATTATCAACATACTTTTGCTCATCATCAACTTCATAAATGTAAAACATAATCATCACTATCAAATGCTTCTGTTTATGATTGCTATCAAAAACTTAATTATAATCATCACAATCAACATACTTCTGCTCATTATCATCATCATTATCATCATCAACATAATAATCAACACTGTCAAATATTTCAGCTCATAATTACAATCATCAAATTAATCATCATCATCATCACAATCAACATACTTCTGCTCATCATCACCATCTTCAATACATTTATCCTCATACCTATCAAATACTTCTGCTTCTGACTACCATTATCAACCTAATCAACTTAATCATCACTAAATACATACTTCTGCGCATCATTATCATGATCAATATAATCATCATCATCATCACTATCAAATACTCCTCCTCATGATAACCATCATCAACGTAATCATCATCACAATCAATATTATTCTGTCCATCATCACCATGATCAATATAACCATCTTATTGTCAATCAAAATATATCTGCTATTCATCGTCATCACCATCATCAATATAATCATCATCATCATCACAATCAACGTACTTTTGCTAATCATCACCATCAACAACATAATCATCATCATTTCAACCAACATACTTCTGAACATCATCACCATCATCAATATATTCATCATCATAAAAATAATCATACTTCTACTCATCATCACCATCATCAACATAAATATAATTATTGCAACCAACATACTTCTTCTGCTCATCATCACAATCATTAATATAATCATCATCACAATCAACATACTTCTGTTCATCATCACCATAATCAACATAATTTACATCATTGCAATCAGCATAGTTCTGGTCATCATAACCATCATCAGTATAATCACATATAGATAACTTAAAAAAATGTGCTTAAAGTTATGTACACATCTTTAAGTAAAAAAAATCACTGACAAATTAATGTATCCAGAACACCTATTTCGTTCGAATCTGGGTTATGGTAAAATCCAAAATACTTTTTGAAAAAAGGAAATGACCAACTTGTGCTACAATACCATAAGTAATGTTTTAACTTTATACTCGGTCCGGCGTTTTCCATGGGCTCGACATCTTTGGCCTTAATGGCCGAAAAAATCTAATTCGGTAATTTATTCTAATAAGTTCAATTCTAAATTAAAGTGACATTTTTTTCATTTCTTTATTGTCAAATTGACTTTAATTGACTATATATTTCAATAAACTGGTCACTATAATGGTACTTGACCAAAACATGATATTAGAAAATGTTTAGGGTAAAAAATAGATCTACCTAAATATAAGAAGACTGCCCCACTCTTTTTATAAATTCACAGTTACAGATACATTCCGACGGATAATTACACGCATTTCACAGGGCTAAGTGAGTTATTTATCGTTCATGTGAAGTAAATTATAAAATTAAAAAGGAATTATGAAAAAATGTTAACTTATTTGTACTTTCAACTGTTCATTCTATATCTACCTATGAATGGGCATTATGCCACTTTAAAGAGATACGGTGACAAAGCTCTTATTATACCTCATTTGCATACGCCCTTCCATATTTAATATGACGTCATCCAGTCCATATACGAATTATGGACCGCCCCCGGTCTGTATGCGGTTTATGGACCGGATGACGTCATATTAAATTTAGAAGGGCGTATGCAAATGAGGTATTATATTAAGTATTGATGTAAACATAAGCATTACACAGTCATTTATTAATGAACTTAAGTTATCAGACAGTAAATCTGGAAAACTGACAAAAGATCATGATGCAGTAAGATTCAATTCCACTACTGAAAAACTGCCATCTATTTAAAAGACGGTACATTTATCAACTTTTCAATAATATAACTCAATATGTAATTTATAGATTTGAAATACAGCTGTTATTATTAAAGAAACCGATATAAGAACGATTCATACAATCTTCAACCCCAAAACTGAAAGAAAATATAGAATCTTTAAAACAAAATATGTCCATGTTCCATTTTCAAGGGAATCCGTTGTTAAAAATACGTCTATTGACATTGATTTTGAGACTGCTTTTTACAGCTAGAAAATGACTTGTTTTATTTATAACTTCGAATAGCTATATGTAAAAATACCTTCGTTATCTTGTACTGTATCACTGTCCACGTCTGCATGAGAATGAACAGTATCTGTAAAATGAGGATCCCCGCTGACCAAGCATTCTTCATCTTCGTCATGTTTCGATTCTTCGTCCTTATCTGTTTCTGTTTCTTTTAATCAATCAAAATAAAATATTAGTCCAATTTTCTTAAAAACAAATAAAATGTTTAGGTAAACTGTTAGTTTTTTTTCAGGTGATAGTAACACTGTTAGTTTTTTGTCAGTGAAACCGAAAAATTATACGGCCTTGCGATTAAGCTCCTATTGAGCATTTACAATTGTTCAATCTTTACTTTGCATATCCTTTTTTTGTGTTTCAAATTTAAATCGTTCATGTATTTAAAGAGATGTATATCTAAGATATATTCTCCTTAAGAAGTGTAAAACGACTTATATTCACTCTTAATTATTCTGCAAGTACTGCCGACACCTTCTCATAAATGTTAATTTAACATGGTATATGATATTGTGTTTCTTAACTTTGCGTCGGGATAACAAGAAACAATGTACCCTTACCAATCTTGTTTTCAATATCCTGCAAGCATTCCGTCGTTATTTCGGAGTAAGCTGTAAATGGTTTTGCACATTTTATGTACAAATCCACAGCCTCTGCTAAACTATTCAGTTGCTTTTGATACTGTTCGCTAGTCGTATACTTTAGTGCTTCATAAACACTTCTATAAGTGTCACATTGGAGACTTATGATGATGCATTCGGGTGTAGTTGACATAACTTCTACTCCTTCCATTTCATCAAGGTGTTTTAGGATATCATCAACCGCACGCTCAATTTCCACCATATTCTCTGTATTTTTAACCTTTGCAATGGCTCTATTGATTACCTTAAAAACTATTTTGTCTGCGAGATCGACTATTGGTTCTTCGTTCCCGCTAAATGTCAGTCTTGTATTTACAACTTCAAATAGACATGTACAATAATATGATATATTTTTTCTTACATAACATAAAGTAAAACATATATTTATTTTTGATATTTATGCAAATGCCCTAATATATCAAACGACGCGTTTGCCTGCTATAACTGTTTCACTTAATATTTATGAAGTTGATTTATGTCTTTGTCTAAAACTTTTATTCTTTGTTTTGATTTAAAGAATAATGATACAATTTTTTTCTTTTGGAAGTAGTTTCTTTCATGCATTTCTTATATACCTAGTTTACTGTTAACTTGATCACATTTTGTTTTTCAATTTAGTGTATGTCTTTACTTACTCATTCTTATTTTTTTGAAAGGTTCAGCAGCCATTTTTTTCTCCAGCTGTTCTAAAACTAAATACAAAAATAAGATTTAATGTATACATGTATAAAATCATCATCGCAAACTTTGATATTTTTTAACATTTGAAAAGTCTTTTCATGTGTAATTATTATCATTTCTATACCAATCGTTTCTAATTGTGCAAAATCATCAGTTAAACATAGCTATACGGTAAACACACGTTGATCATTGCGAATGTATTTATTACATTGTAAAATAAACAAGAGGTAATGTAATGCAACACATTGAAAAAGCATTTTTATTTTTACCTAAGTTTACTTTTGAATCAATTCCTTGGATATCGGATCGTATATTTATTTCGCTTTTCTTAATAGAATCAGAAAGATTCTTCTCTGACGACCCAATGCTGTCTAATATCTTACTTATCAATGGCTCCGAGACATTTAAACATTTTAAATTTTCAATTGAAGTCTTCACTTCCAAAGGACACGTTTTGTATTTATCAACTGTTTCTCTACATTTTTCTTGTATACTATCCTCAAAATCAGATGCAATCGTTGTAATAGCATCATCTAGCTCTTCAACAAAGTTATTGTAATCTTCCTCACAAAATTCTGCCGAAGAACTGTGTGCTAACACAATTCTCCGCCGCTTAATTTCTCTTATGCTTGTCCTTTCTTTGGGTTGCAAATCTTGTCCAAATAAAATCATAATAACCCCAGATAGCATCTGAATGTCCCATTTCTTTATATCAGTTTTGCCACTGGCAGGATATAAAATGTCTTGTTGCATTTTATTTCTAAACTCACTTTCCACTTTCTTTTTATATCTTGTGTCATTTAATAGCTCATCTAAAGTGCAATCTTTCCTTTTGAGTTCTCGTTGTATAACTTCCTTAGTTATGTAAGATCCACTATCTGATAAATATAAGACAGACCGTAGATAACGTTCGTTTCCTACTGTAACCATTTTCTTCTGAAATGTAAAGAAATATACAAAACAAAGATACATTTAGACCTAGTACTCTGCAAATTCATAAATAAGAAAAATAAAACGTTTCAAATGTAACAATGGAAATAATAGTATACACTTTTTTACAATACGACATTTCCATTGAAACAGAAATAACATTTCGAGCATGCACAATCTGCGTATGAAAAAAAGCAATAACGATTAAAAGACTTCATAAACAATTTGATGTAATCTTAACGATTAACCATAAGTATAGCATAATAATCGATGAATGATAAATTAAAGTAATTGACTTCAACACTTCTGCATTAACGTAGTTAGGATGTTAACAATCCGAAACACCCTAAATGATGCATTGAATTTCGATTTTAAAATTTCTCGGTAAAGTTGTACGAAGAATTGCTTGAATGTATCCTTACTATAGCACTGAACTCGATGATAAGAGGTCGTGAATGCGAAATCTATGGTCAATATTCTCTTTCCTTTTCATACTTATAGGCATTACTAAACGTGATTTCAAGTCATTTTACATGCAAAACAGTGTCGTGCATACATCTCTTTTTCATGCCCAACATTCGTTTTTATTTGTTTGGGTCGTCAGACCAAACAAATAATGGTAGCGAAAATTCAGAGCCTAATGCTGTTAATTGCAAATGCCTAAAGTAGTCCACTTTTTTGAAGCGGTTACTTCCCTTTATAAGTACAATAACGCCAAAAAATTCAGGGGAAAACAATGCGTAAAGATTGTCAAATGACAGGCGCATTAATTTTCAAGCAAAGTAGTTCCCGAATGGTCGAATACTTCTAATATTGTTTCATTCTTTATAGATATATATATATGCTTACAGTAAGCTCCATGATTATTTACTTCGAAATAATAAGAGTTACGAACCCTAATTTAAAAAAATATATGTTTTCTTCAAGACACTAACATATAACTACACCGTGGCCGAGGGGTTTGCACGCTTGCTTATGAATCGAGAGGTCTCGAGTTCAAATCCAAGTTGAGGCAACTCATTTTTTTATATATATTTTTAAAGTCAAATAAACATTGAATTGACTATCAGTGTTGCTATTAGTCTTATAGCCAATTTACTACAGTTAAAACACTGGAAAGCATTGGTGACACTATACAAAAACAAATGGGTTTATAATCTCACAACCTTCACCTTTCTGACATTCTGAGATCCAAGCAAATTCAGCGCCTTCTGTGCTTTGATTACATTACCGTCATCGATTTTCTGAAAATAACAATAAAATATACACTGTCATGTTCTATTTTTGCTGAGTGTATATATCATTTAACGCAGAACGCTTTCTAAGAACAAAAGATGTATCATTCGGATATAATTGATTGCTCCGCGCCCACAGGCGCGGAGCTATTTGTGTTTACTATTTTTTTTGTCCATGGGCCCGGATTTGAGCAATAAATCCTTTCGATTAACAGCTAAAAGTAAATCCGCATTCAAGAACTCCTTTCGATTTCTATATTGGTTTCCCCGTCTGTGATTCGCAGCATGTCATATTAATGAATGAGAACCGGAAAGCAGTTCTGCTGTTACAAAAATTCGAAAGCTATAAATAGCCATAAATGTTACTTCGGTTATAAATTTGTTATTACCCTTTTTTAGTAGTACATGAAATTATAATTTGTTACATTTTGAAATACATTTTACACACAGCATATCAAGTATACTATTAGTGATTGAATTTGTCAATATTAAGAAGATTTCAGGCATAAGATTTTAACAATTTTGCTTTTGATAACTATTTTTAATTTATATTATTTTATGAAATTACATGTTTAATAATAACATGTTGATATATTGGTTGAATTGAAATGATTAAACTTTAGTATATAACGTTACATTTCATTCGCGTCAAGTAAGAAAAAAGTTAGTGGTATGACTGGTGATATGTTCGGGGGTCCGTACTCGACAGCGAAAGCTGCATTTTGTACCCTTACGAGCGGATGGACCTTCAATAAGGTGTTTCCGCTTTCTCAGTCATGTTTGTTTTCACAAAGTCTATCCAAAGTGAAAGTAGGCAAAAATTCATATAGGAACAAAGCTCACATTGTTATATGATGAGCCATTTACAAGTACACTCCCAATTCTATGTTTTAAAGACTATTTTAAACAAAAATAAAACTGATAATAACAATAAGAAATTTACCTTGAATGGGCTACATTTCTGAATACCAAAAACATTCTGTTGCAAAGTTTTATGCACATTTCATGAATGGCAAAATCAAGTTTAAAGTCTATTTTAGTGCAAACAAATGCTATTTTTTGCAGAAATACAAAAAAACTTTAAAAAAACATAAATCTTAGGAAAGTAGTTTATCTGACCTTGAAAAAACATGGCCTCCATGACATGTGTAAAAAAGTAGTACCATGAAAATAAACATCATTTGCCTATTTCTTGTGTACATGACAAACAGACACACTTCACTGTTACACATAAAAAGGTTAGATTTTAAAGTTTGATTGTGTTTTCATTTTAATTGGAGTTCATAAGGCTATAAATGACGATTGTTTTCTTGCACTACTTTTTTACAAAAAATAATGGAGGCCATGTGCTTAGAGGGACATGAGATTCTGATTTATTTGGAGTTAAGTTTTGAAAGATTTTTGTATTTGCTGCAAAAACATAGCTTTTGTTGGCACTAAAACAGACTTTAAAATGGATTTTGCCATTCATGAAATGTGCATAAAACTTTGCAACAGAATGTTTTTGGTCTTCAGAAATGTAGCACATTCAAGGTAAATATTCTTATTGTTATCATTTTTATTTTTGTTTATAATTGTCCCTAAAATATAAACCTGGAAGTGTACTTTCAAATGGTTCATCATTTTACAATAAGAGCTTTGTTGTTATATGAATTTTGGCCTATTTTCACTTTGGACAGACTTTAGTGAAAACAAACATGGCTGACAAAGCGGAATCACCTTAAGCATGGGCTATATATAGATATCATGACAACAACAGAATCTTAGATCTGCAGTTTGAACATGAAGTGTAATGTTTTTTTATGAATGGTTTTAAAGCAATTCAACAAAAAAATATATATTGATCCCTAAAAATTAATTAACAATAGTTTTTTATATATATATATTACCAATGTCAAATAGCTTTCATATCTTTGTCTCGCACGAATATGATATTAGTGAATTTCCTCATACCTACCTAAAATTCAGGTAACATACTTCTATTATATTGATAAATACTGTATCACTATGTAACGCGTGCATTACAAACAAAAAAAATCCTGAATTTGGTCTTTTTGAAATTCATCCCATTTTTTCATTCCAGAGTGTGTTCTACTTTCAGTATTTAAAGAAACCATTTTTTTTATTTGACATGAAAAATATGCATGTAATATTACTATATTATAATATTAGTCCTTTTTGTTACTATTTGTATATTTGTTACAATTATAACAGACTTTGATATTTCTATCATCTATCTTCTGTTACTGAAACAGAACACAGTACAGTCATGTCACATAACATTTACAAGTCTTGTTTGTATTCTATCATCTTATGTTACTGACTACAGTAGTGACACAAACAGAACACAGTAAAGTCATGTCACATAAGATTTACAAGTCTTGTTTGTATTCAATGAAATTACTTTCCTTACCAGGTAGGCATCAGTGAAAGCATTTTTATATTAACAAAATTTCCCCTCTTTTTAAGTATGGACAGTGCATAAGATAAGTATAATTGTGCAAAAAATGGTTTACAAAACATTCGAAAAAAATCTACAATAGTACCTAATCTGAATATTACATGACCTGTGCGTAGGAATAATTTGGTAAGGTATCTGTAATGAGCACATTTTTTTTGCGCGGAGCTTCTCAATTGCTGCATTGCAGCAACATTTGTACTTGTTAAATATAAAGTCTTGCCAGTGATTATCACGGCACTGTCCAAAAACCGTGTCATTGTTACGCTGCGCATGATAATCACACGCGTGATTTCGAGTAAATATCACACGGTCTTAACCAGAACAAAACAGTTAGACACCAGTAGCTTTATAAATTGTAAAAATTATTGAACACAGGTAAATTTCAAAATAACATTTTCAGTTTCATGGTTAACGCTGTTTGAATAGTCAGTAATCCCGTGACCCTTAATATCTATTAATATCCTTCGGTATTTATCGGTAATATTCAATTTATAATATAAGAGTGGGACAGTCTTATTTTTCAAGCAGTTTGTTATATAGAATCCCTCATATTTATCATCATCAGTTACTGTTCAATCGCCATAATAACAGTCAATGTTTTGAAATATAACTACTATATCTCAGCTTGACAGTGAAAAATGATAAGCATGTGACTTTACAGGAACCCTAGCTATGAGAAACAGAATGTTGGATGTTGAGCGTTAATATGCTAAACGCATAATAATGAGTTAAGTTTATTCGTTTATTTACATACATGAAATTCATATACATTTAAAATACATGTTCGACCAATCAAATGAGATTTATAAGAGACATATGTAACCATTATCACATGTAATTTGGCTATTTAAGTGTAGAACAAATAAGAAAAAGAACATTCTTGTTAATCTTATTTATTTTAAAATGCTATAAAAGAAGTAAGAGAAAAATGAAGTGGAATAATTTGGCAATATACTCCACAATACAAAATGATTGTAAAATAATGATAATACGTTTGATCAAATTAAGCATATCTAGATTAATAAATGTAATTTAGCAATTGAGTAAACCCGTTTAATTTATGATAATCCACAATTGATTTATAGGATTAAAAACTATTTTATGTCTCATCTACTTAAAATCAAATGTCTAAATTAAAATATCAGAAAGCAGGCATCTGATTACATCATCTTTCTTAAATAGGAAATAAATCTCTGTTCCTTTATCAAATTATGAAAAGTATTATTTAACGTAGTTGCATGTATAAATAACTTATTTTCTTTTATCATCAAATAATGAACACTTGAAAACGGTATGAAACTTAT